AGAGGCGGCACAGCATACCAGCCGCTAGTTTACTATTAGGGAGAAATGTTGTAAAACTTCACCTCTGCCTATCTCTCGCTCTCTCACTTTGGACATTTGACCCGCTGGCCAGTTTGTAAGGTAACTTTTCCTCTCTTCTTAGCTGTTGAAGCTGTGGATCCAGACATGAGCGTGCCTCATGTGCAATTAAGTCTTCTCCACTGTGTCTATTACCTGTGATAATCGCGTATTTTTCCCGCCATGGGTGAACAGCGCTTATATTTCTAAAGCCCTTTCTGTTGAGGACAATAACCAATCATAGCCGTGTAAGACCCGCCTGTCATCGCTCTAAAAGCAGGCGGGATAATATTGACATGAGTTTATTAGCTGTAAATGCTCGTGCTGTCTTCTGTGCATGAGTTTTGTTTGATACATCCAGGAAGAGTGTTTTCTTTGAGCAGGTCAAATTAAGGGCACAGTTCGTATATCTGACTGCTGTATTAAAGGACAAAATTTTAATACAAAAACCCCTTTAACTGACAAAAGCAATAGAATTTTTTTTTATTGCATTTCTTAACTCCAAATGTCGCTAGTTAACACAATAAGTGCATTTTTATTCAACACATCACATTATTTCTAAAATATCAGCCTCTACCAAATGGTTGAGATGCTGGTTTATGGTAAAAGTACCAGAATTAATAAATATACTACAGAAAATATGAACTGTAAGACCAATTTCATTAAAAACATAATAAAACTAAATAAAAATTATTACTAAATCATAGCCATAAGCCATAAAATATTTCAGATTTTCATTTAACACAGTAATATACACATTTTCCTGTTTTTTTTTTTACAATAAAATCAAAATCAAGTGAATTTGTGAAGCAGGATTTAGTTTGCTTGTTTAGTTTAAAGCTTTTTATTTTAAAGCAATCAAACTTTAAAACTCCCAAAGTGTGAGTGTGTCTTTGTGTCTGTGTGTGTGTGTGTGTGTGTGTGTGTGTGTGTGTGTGTGTGTGTGTGTGTGTGTGTGTGTGTGTGTGTGTGAGTGAGAGTGAATAATGTGTAAGAGAAAACAACAGTGTGATTGTACCTGTGTGTGTGTGTGTGTGTGTGTGTGTGTGTGTGTGTGTGTGTGTGTGTGTGTGTGTGTGTGTGTAAGGGAGAGTGTAAAAACAATTGCAACCTATGTAATGTCCCCACAATTCACAAAAATGTGTGTGTGTGTGTGTGAGAGAGAGAGAGAGAGAGAGAACTGTGTGTGTGAGAGTGTATGAATGTGTGAGAGTGGGGAGAGAGTGTACATTTAGGTGTGTGCAGGGCAGTGTGTGTGTGTGTGTGTGTGTGTGTGTGTGAGAGAGAGAGAGAGAGAGAATGTATGTGAGTGAACATGCTGAATTATCTCATCAGTGAAGGCATTTTCTGGTAACAGGGCCTGACGATGTGAGCTCTTGTACCATAGAAACTATTTACAGAGAAAAACAGTATCATAAGCCATGTTTCTTTTCGTTCTGCTTAATCAAGTACCCCAAAAAGATATTTAAAATAAACAAAACAATTAGTGTATTTTGACTGCTTTCTTTAATAACTACATAACACAATACTTGTACTTTTACTTTCAGTACTTGAGTAGTAAATTTTGAAATAAACTACTTGTAATACTTAAGTACAAAAAATGTTGAATACTTTTGTACTTCCACTTAAGTATGGTGCTTAAAGAGCACTTCTACTTCTACTCAAGTCAATTTTTGATAAAGCACTTGTACTTTTACTTAAGTATGGGTCTCTAGTACTTTATACATCTCTGAGCACTTGTTACTTTTTAGGAGCTATTTTAAAATAACATAATACAATGACCTTTATTTTGAAGTATCAAAGAGGAATTTCATCATTCATAAAGCTGCAAAAACTATAAAGGATCAGTGGATAATGAATAAAATTGATCTGTTTAATAGATACAACCTCAAGGGGTCACCCTTTAATTTCTTTCAACACTAACATCTAATAAACCTGTGTTCGTTTACATTCGTTTTTTTTTTTTTTTTTTTTTTGCATTTATATATTGACTAATGTACGTGGATTACAGGCAATCTGTTGCAAAATGCTGATGAATTTGTGGGCCATTTTATTAGTAAAATTATTTCTGAAAGATCATTTAGTTTTTAAATGAGTCATTAAGCCTGTGGGTTGAGTTTTAGAAGGGTAGATGCACTGTAAAACATGATAGCTCAATTTAGTTCTTATAAATGAAATTTTCTCTAACTCAAATTGCTTTATAAATTTAATATATTGAACTAAAGTATGTAAGTTCTTTTAAAATTAAATGAAAAGCTGTTTGACCAGTGTGAAAAGTTTTACAGGGTGGAGTTCATTAAATACAATGCAGTTTTTACTCGTTCTGTTTCTGAGTTTTTTATGTTCATATTTGTTCAGGAAATCACATATTCACAATTTATATCAGTTTTCTGATCAGGCTGTAAAATGACTTACAACTAAAGCAGCATTAATTAGACTTTTGAATGTGAACTGGAAAATTCCTGTGTCAAAAGTTCATGGCTAAAACCCAGAGAGAAGAAACCATTGTGGTTTGTGTCTTCGTATTTCCTCATGTTCATTTTCTGTTATTCAAATGAGCAGTGGTTTGGCTGATTTGACCTTTGAGGCTTATTTGCAAAAGCTGAATTAGCAGTGCAAGATGAGAAGGAAATATGAGGTTAAATCCACGTGAAATTGATGGTGTTTCTGACCATGTGAATAGAACAAGAAACATCTGTGTTTGGAAACAGAACTTATCTTTAATATTTAAATAGCAAAAGCATTGCCCTTAAGATGCTTGTCAACTATGTACAGTGTTTTTGTACATACATAAAGGGATGTAAACAGTTCACATGTTATAAACACAAAACACCAATATTTTAAAAGAATAGAAAAACTATTTGATTTGGCAGCAACTATTATTTATTCATTTATTTATTTATTTAAATAATTTTGGTACAGACTCATGAATAACGCATTTTTCTTTATTAAATCCACAAATAAATACAACTGTTTTAGAATTAAATTGAGCTAAAACTATCAGTAAATTAGCAGTTTTTCGTATTTTGTGCTGTATATTCTTTATTTTGCTTTCTTTATGCTTTTGAATTGCATTATGGGACCTTGATCCTCCAACAACTTTTGACCTAGAAAAGTTCGAAAAAGTGACTTTTATAGACATTTTTAATAACTTAAAATGATTGTTGTCTGAGTTGGTGTTGTATATTATGTTGCAAAACCCTGTAATGAACTGCCAGTACATTTTAGTTTTTATTTAATTTGATTTGAACTTTTTATTGTTTCCATTACAACACAATCCTACGGCAATTCGTAACTTTTAGATTTAGTGGCTAATTCAAATGAATTCGTATGATCTTTTGTGTATAATTTAGTTTGATTTGCTTGTCCTCCACTGACGATTGGGTTTAAGGGTGGGGTCTCTTTTTAAAAATCTTACAATTTTGTACGACTGAACTACATTTCAAACAACTGAAATAGCCACTAAATGACAAAACGTAAAATAGTTACTTTCCTCGTGAGACCCGGCTTTTATTTTCTTATTTGCAAATCATGCAGATGGATATCAAATACAGAGCATTAACATGAAAGCGGAACACTACGAAATAAATAAATACCATAAATAAATATTGCCATATAAATTGAGAAAATAAACCAAACCAAAACACACATTAAAAAAGATCCCAAAAACACTAATGCTTGCAGTCAAAGAACTCAGAAACTCGTGAGAATGGAGATGTCTGCTTGTTTGTGCCAGTCTGTCAGATAAAATTGTTTAAAACGCCTTGAATGGTAGCAGTTCCATGCGAGGAGGCTGTGCACCCATGGGCTGGGCCTGGAGTTCCACCAGCTTAAGTGCTGATGAGATTGAGTCTCCACCCCTTGTGGGGAAGCAAATATTTGTCTTTTTAGTTTTAGGCCTTTTGGCAAAATTATGTCTCAATTAAGTTTACCGGTTTAAAATAGAGTTTACTCATTTTGAACCTTGTTTTAGACAGTAGCTATCAGACCTGTGATTTTTAGTGTGCGGAAAACCCCCCAGCAAAACTAAAGCCAATAGATTTCTTTACCTACCATGCAAGTACACTCTCAGAAATAAAGGTATAAGAGCTGTCACTCTGGTGGTACCTTTTTGAAAGGTACATATTTGTACTTAAAGGGTATGTATTGGTACCTCAAAGCTATATCATAGTACCAAAAAAATTCAAGAGGTACACTTTTGTACTTATTAAAGTATTAATGTGTACTCATGGGGTATTAATAAAGAGCTTTTAAGTACAAAGATGTACCTTTTAAAAAGGTAGCACCCCAGTGACAGCTTTTGCACCTTTATTTCTGAGAGTGTACATACACACTTTAAAACACACAAACGCACACCTTTATTTATTCAAATTATTTCTTGCTTGGTCAATATGTCGTAGTGTATACTGTTTTTTATACAATTAAAATTATTTAAAAGAATAAATAAATAAATAATAAATCGGCATTAATAGTAGGTCCCACAGTGCGTACAGCCTTATATGGCTGCAGGCACCACTGATGCATTACATAGTTTCAAACTACAAAAATGTGAATAAAAGTCACTATGTTAAACTGTAGAGTTCAATTTTCAACATCAAAAGTCGACAGGGCAGAGATTAATGTCCCATAATGCAATTCACAACTATAAATAATGGAGAAAAATTGTAAATCACAAAATAAAGGAAATTGTTAATTAAAAGATATTTTAAAAGTGCAAAATCTATAATGAATTACAAATATCTGATTGTACAGCAGGTCTGTCTTTAATCTTTTATACATACAAACAAATTTGTTAAATAAAGTTGATCTACTATTTATTAAGTAAAAAATACTACTAACAATAATTTAATAATAATAAATAAATACTTTTACTCGACTATTAACATTTTGCTTAGATGTCCAGTCCATTTAAGGGAATATAAATATAAATACAAGTTGATTATAAGCAGCATTTTGTGCATTCTCAATCTACTGTCGCTCTCCAGTCACCATAGCAACCACCTTCTCAGCATCAGCACCCATATCATCGATTGCATTATTGAGCGCTTGGAGCATCACCGTGAAGGATCGGCTGACGGATCTGGCTTGTCTCGGGATGGCCAGCTCCACGAGTCTGGTGGTCGCAGTGCTGGTGTCTTTCTCAGCCTCCGCCAGCCGTCTTTTAACCTCGCTCTTGCTGACCTCAACAGAAAGAGCGCATGTGCGCAGGGCCTTCAGCTTGGCTGGATCTAGACCCCGCTGTCTTGCCAGTCGCTGTAAAGATTCGTCATCTAAACAAAGCGAGATTTGAGCTTTAACCAAAATCCGGACGCCCACTGTAGCATCCACCATTGAGGACACCAGTGGTACTGGAATAGCAGAAACACCACCAGATAATGAAGCAGCGGCCCACACCAATGCCTTAAAGGCGTCTTTCTTCTGAGTGACCAATGAGCTTGAAAACGTAGGAAGCGCCAGAAGAAGAGCATGGGCTCGAATCTCCGGAAGATCTCCTCTCATGACCTCTAAAAATGTGAGAAAGTCCAGCTTCTCTAGGGCGGACGGTTGCACTAGAAACACCTTTGGCAGAGGAACACCTTCTGCTTTAAGGACATCTAAACTTGCCGCCTTTTTCGCCTCCAGTGATTTCTCGGTGTCTTTCACAGATGCTAATAATACAAAGTAAACAGTCTCTTTCTGAAGTGATCTAACTTCCTTCCATACCGCAACGCTGTTGGCGCTAGGTCTGTCGGTGGATGTGAGAATGATAGCATTGTAGCGTGTAGCTTTAAAACGCTCAATGTAATCCTCTGGTTTGAAATTAGCATCGCTAGAGATTGGTGGAAGATCCCAGAGGCGGAAATCTGGGTGTTTGGGATTGGTGAATACGGCTAGTTCTTCTGGGGCGGCAGATGGTGGATTTTGGGCTGCACCTTCATCTTCTTGGCTCAGGCCTCGGAGAGAGTTGATGAAAGTGGCTTTTTCTGCATTTCTTTCCCCAGCGATGGCGATGTTGATTCTGCTGATTAGCATGTCCTCCAGTGCATCTCGAATATCGGAGATGTTGTTCTTCTCGATGGACTCTTTCAGTGTTTCCAGCAGGTTGAGACCCTTTATCACGTCAGCCATGTTGGTGGAGTTAATGAGAATGAATCTATAAATAGAGAGAATATCATATAGTGCTCAACAGTAGTTTGTGTGTATTTTGTAATTCAAATGTTTGGAGGCAGTAAGAATTGTTTTATTCTTTTTTTAAAGAAGTAAATTTTTTTATTTAGCTAATTTAAGTCAAATCTTAGCAAATTGTATATTTATCAAATACCATAAATTCATCAAAAAAGATAATTGAAAAGTTTTTTAACTTTAATGTTAAACAAATTAATGCAAAAATTTTATCACCTTTTTTACAAAAAATATTTAAAGGTGCAGTATTTCCATTTGACACCCAGTGGTTGAACTAGGTATTGCACTCCTGGATCAAAACAGACAGAAGTGCCAACACAATCTCACGGCAATTCATAACTTTTTCATTTAGTGGCTAATTCGTTTGAATTCGTACGATCTAATTCGTAAAATTTAGTACGATTTGCTTATCCCCCAATGACGGTTGGGGTTAGGGGTGGGGTCAGGTGCCACGCCTCCTTTTTAAAATCGTATCATTTCGTACGACCGAAATCGTACGAATTCGTACAAATTAGCCATTAAACTGGCAAAACATAAAATACTTACATTTTCTCGTGAGATCAGGCTGTTCAGGTTGCCAGATTGATGACACAAGCAGCATTGTGCCTGAATGTCAAGCCTAAAGGCTGATTTAAACCATGTTCTAAATAAAAGCAATGGCATGCGATAGAAGGAATATTCTCTATATTAAAGGGAGATTTTGTTCAAACCAAAACCTTACATTTATAGTTTAGAAATGGTTTTTATTTCTTGCAGCTGAACAACAGGATGAACTGTGATCTCCTCAGGTACACCTCATGTGCTTTATTCAGTGTTAAATGCTAATAATGCAAGTTTGAATGCCATTTTACATGACATTTATTGCTATATTACTGAAAGCAGCAGGAGATAGTAAATTTCAGATCTTGAAATTAAAATAAATTATTTGAAAAGGAACTTTTTAAAGAGGTTTAATATGCATTATTAGATTATAAACCTTACCATTTCGTTGGAGTGCAGTAAGTGCACTATTCTGTGCTTCTGAACGGCTGTATTTAAATTCATGTAGTGTTTCGTCTGGTGCAAACAGCCAAATTGCTTATCACTATAAATCTCATCACGTAGCATGTTGTTAGGACATGGGGTTACAATGTAACTTGCTCACCTAATGTTTATGTTTGGAATATTTATGTTATTTGTTAATTAATAAACACCTCATGTGGAATTCTGAATCTGCGTCTCATTTCGGAGGCTGCTATTGTCCACCGGAGGCCACATTTTGGTCACGGACACATGCTTTGAAAGCATTTTTCATTTTGATTTAATAAGCAGTTTTTACGCACCAAGGCAACTCGGGGTGCAGAAATATAATTGGCTAAACTGGAGTTGGGCGATTTCCCAGAGATGGGTTGCGGCTGGAAGGGCACCTGCTGCGTAAAAACGTGCTGGATAATTTGGCGGTTCATTCCGCTGTGGCCACCCCGGATTAATAAAGGGACAAAGCCGACAAGAGAATGAATGAATGAATGAATGAATGAATGAATGAATGTAATTGGGCGGGTTAAATGGACCAAAACAAAGACAGCGTTCTGGCACACAACACACATATTCAAAGCAGAATATCTGACTTTAGCATTGTTTTTCAGATAATTAAGAATGTTCACTTGGCATGTTTCTTAAATATCTGCAAACATATTATGGTATTTTTATGCTTTAGAAGAGTCAAAAACTTCAGTTAAAAGTTTGTGTGCAGTATAGTTTTTTTAAATCTTTTTTATATTTAGCAAGCTTTCTTTAATTCATCAAAAGTGATAATCAATGTATTTAACTTAAATATTTTTTTTTTATTAATTAATGCAAAAATTGTATCATCGTTTGCCTTAAAATTATAAATTAAAAAAAGGTTTAATCTCCAAACTAGTATAAAGGATGAGACAATGAAGTCTGGGGTAATTTAGATTGAAAATTTAGCTTTGCCATCACAGAAATAATTTATAGCTTTTAAAGTGTGTTCAAATAGAAAACAGGTATTTTAAACTGTAGAAATATTGCAGATTATATTGATGTTTTTACTGACTTTTCAGATCCCTGGAAGTTAAAAAATCTTCAGTATTGCAAATTTTTGCATATATAATTAAGTAAAATGTATTTTTGTTGTTGATTTTCTTTTATAGGGCAAAGATAAAATAAAACTGTTATTAGAAATTTGTTATTGAAACTATTATGTTTAGAAAACTTCTCTCCGTTAAACAGAAATGGGGGGGGGGGAGATAAACAAGGGGGGGTTAATAATTCAGGGGGGCTAATAATTCTGACTTCAACTGTATACACACACACACACACTCACACACACACTTTTAATCTAAAAATTAATAAATATTTAATCTTAAAATGTAAATTAGAATAGAATTTTACCATTTTATTTAAGCCACTCTGACATTTTACAGCAGTCATGCAACCAACAGTAGCAAATAACTTTATTTTAAATAACTTTAATATATTCACACAAATAAATTGTATTTAGCAACTCAGTTAGGCACTGTCCATAATGATTTACAATAGTTGCATACACTGCAATAAAAAGACAAACATTTGTCCACAGCATGAACTATTTTCAAAACCAACAGACCAAGCAACCAACAGCAAAGCAACGTAAATCAGCTGAATGGAAAAAAGTGACTAAGAAGTTAATTTCCATAAATAAGCATAAACAATGTCCTATAATTAGTTAATTCAATTATGAGTAGCGCAACAATGAGAATAAACTGACAGCTTTAAAGTGGATTGTGGTTCTTTAGTCTCAGCACATACCTGTTTTCAGATCATACAGAGTGACACCAGTGTGGTGGACCACAGAAAAACGGCTGAAACACAAAACCACACAAAGACAAACAACACACTGACACTCTCACTGTGAGCTATATAAGGATTCTTTGGGGTGTGTGGAACATTCTAATCCTATTATCTAAGCCCTAATCCTCCACACACATACACACACGTCATTAGAGAGGCAGTGAGCAGGTGAACTGATTCACACACACACAAAGACATACATGAATATGATTCATATCACAGTTTGCTGTTCACAGTTTTCTGTTTAATTTGGTTTACATTGTTTAAAAAAAATCCCCTTTAGCATCACTTAAATATCATCATCTTGAAATACAGACCCTTATAATCTACCCTGCACAATATTTTTTTAAAATATTCTCAAGGCCATTTATTCTAATTTCAGATTTTGTCTTTTGTTGTTGATTAATGGAAATGACGATAGCATGATCATTTTGGCTGCTGTATTAAAAAAAAAATTCCATAAATATGTACCTTTTGACTCAGACCTTTTGACTCAGTAGTATGAAAGATTGACACCCAGTGGTTAAACTAGGTATTGCAATCCAAAAATCAATACAGATTTTCAGACGACTGCATACAAAAGCAGGTTGCCAGATTGAAGACACCAATATGAGTGCCTGACTATCAAGCCTTCACTGTGTGCTAGCAACAAACAACAACACGATATAAGGGATATGCGTTTTTGCAATGACATAAAATTTCTATTTAGAAACGGTATTAATTCCTCACAGCTGAACAGCAGCATACACTTCTATGAAAATGATCACCTCGGGTAGTGCTTATGCTTTATTCAGTGTTAAATGATACAAATACGAGTATGTTTATTATTTAACATGACATTTATTGCCATACTGGAAACAGTAATAGTTAGTTCATACATAGATTAGTAGATTGAATGATGCTGTATTGGCTGCAAAATTATTGTGAATTATTGTGTTCTGAAACCAGCCATTTCGGTTTCATAGTTTAACCCATGTGTGTATATATAAAGAATTTCAGTCACAGGCATCAGTCTCCAACAGAAAAAGCTGTGACACAACATATAACAAGCAGCATATATATATATATATATATATATATATATATATATATATATATATATATATATATATATATATATATATATATATATATATATATATATATATATATATATACATATATACTTGTTATATTTTGTCACAGCTTATCTTTTTCTGTTGTAGACTGAGATCTGTGTGAAATGATTGCAACACACAGAATGTCAAGTGTCAAATGAAAGAATGGAAAAGTCATTTTAATTGTTTCTCTATATTATCATTTCTAGATACACTCAAAAAACTATTTAGATTCCTGCGTTTTTGGTAAACATTTTTATTCAAATACACATATTATCGGTTTTTGCTTTTTATGAGAATCAAACTCATCATTCATCTGTTTGTACTGTATTAAAATCAATAATTCTAGTAAAAGGATGATTTATTATACGTATATACTGTATGGGAAAAGACACAATATCTTACAATTATGTATGATGTCTGCATACGTTTACATACAGCTTTTTATTTAATTTTTTTTAACAGATAGAAAGCATATTACATGTAAGCATTTAATATTTCTAATAACTTTTGTGACAATTTTTATTTTAAATATGCATCATTTAGCGTAACTAATACATTAATGTACTAATTAAATAACTTAATCTTCTGACCTGTGCTTATTATGTACTATTCTCTTGAAAAAAAATATAAAAATCCAAATAATGTTTAACAGAGCACGGAAATTTTCCCAGTATTTCAGATAATATTTTATTTTCTGGAGAAAGTCTTAATTGTTTTATTTCAGCTAAAATAAAAGCAGTTTTAATCTGTTTAAAAGCCATTTAAAGGTCATTATTATTAGCCCCTTTACGCTGTTTTTTTTTTTTTTTTTGATAGTCTACAGAACAAACCATCATTATACAATAACTTGCCATATTACCCTAACTTAACCTAATTAACCTGGTTAAGCCTTTGAAAAAATATCTAGTAAAATATTATTTACTGTCATCATAGCAAAGATCAAATAAATCAGTTATTAGAAATTAGTTATTAAAACTATTATGATTAGAAATGTGTTGAAAAAAAATATTCTTTCTGTTAAACAGAAACAGGGGGAAAATAAAGGGGGGGTCTAATACTTATATATGTACAAATTTTTTTCTATTTGACATACAGTATATTTGTAGCATTTTCTGTAAGATCAGTGGAGCAAAACAAAACTTTAAATATTCTATAATAGTTTCTCTACATCACATTTCAAATAAACTGTATTTATAGAATAACTAAAAATGAAACATGACAAACCAGACAAACTGAAATGTGCAACACAGGCTCATTGAGTCATTGTGGATATGTACTTCCATCAAAATTTTTAGAGACACATTTTGATCTGTAAAACACATATTCATTTGTATGGATGGCTTTTCCTGTGTTACCAGTTTGCCCAGTAGCTTGCCATGTACACTAATGGACTTAGGATACGGAGCAGAGTGGGCTGTGACGACGGGATTTTAGATCGGTGAGAAACGGTTTCAGTAACCAGGTAAAACAAAAGCAAAAAAATATAAGTAATAGGCTCATAACATAATAACAACTGTGAAGAAGGTAAAATCACATGGCCGCCAGCAATGGCTTTTCTTTTTCTAGATTAGGTTTTGAAAACATTATTGGTTGGGTTTAAGGGGTTGACGGTTCAGTCAGTCGACAGCAAGCTGATCGGCTGCAGTGTGTCTTTCACCCTATGTTGAATTTACGTGAGAAGAGGATGTGCAAGAGGAATTTGAGATCATCAAAAAGTGTACACTGCAGCCTCTGGTGGATTCGCAAAAATAAAAACTGGAGCAAACCTGGCAAGTGTACTGGAGTACATATTTTGCGCTCTCTAAAAATGTAAGGGGCTTCGTATACACAATGAACCTGTGTTGGAAATGTAACGTGCAGCTAAAACCCCTTAAGCTTCTTGTCATTGAGGCACCTGAGAATAAAGTTCCTCCTCTGCCCCCATCTCTTTCTGGTCAAACGTTTCCACCTGCTCATCTCCATCCTGAGGATCTTCAGTGTCCTTCCAGTCTTTTGTTCTGTCCTTCTTGATCTCAGCGTAGTCAGTGTCTGTAGGCTCTGTCTCTGCCTCCTCAGGGGGTTTGTCCTTTAGGAGGGAGTAATCAATGCTGGCGTAGTCCACCTCTCGTGCTTCTGTCCCAAGTGCTTCATCCTCCTCTGCTCCATCTGTTGGTGTAGCAGGTGTTTTTGGGGTTTCTCCATCAGGCTGTTCATGTAGAGGGGTTTGCTCAGTGGTTCCATTCTGCGCTACGTCTGTCTGCACCGTCTGATAGATAGATGACATGTTTTTTATTAGACATTCATTTTTGACAGGATATATGGGGACTCATGAAAGCACCCAGTGTTTTGGGTTTAAAAAGAAGTGTAATAGACATCTAAACAAGACATAGCATTGTGAATGTATTATTTCATGCGTATGGCTTTAATAGGTATTTAATAGACATCTTAACATAGTTAGCTTGGCTAAAACAAGTCTAAATATGGGCTGTCAGTGTCACTTTAGGGCGTAAAAACGGGAACAAAAGGGTGTGGATCCAAGTGCAGATTTAATATTAACTTAGTGCAGTAACAGTGAACAAAAATCAAAAAATCAAAGTAACAAATAAACAGCTAAACAAGACTTACTGGAAACTGACGACAAGATAGACAACGACGCAGTGACAAACAGTGTTGGAATGACAGAATATATAGTCCAGGAAATCATCGGTAAACAGACACAGCTGTGATTGCAAATCAGTGTACATGAATTCCGGTGTGTGCGCGATGTATGTATGGATTTGTAGTTCTTGGGCCACTGTAGTTCGCAGGGAGTTGCAGGCGAACTACAGTGGCATCTAGTGTTCATACACAGTCATGACAGTCAGTGCAAATCTAATAGACGTCTATGAATAGCCTGCCCTGGGAATTGGTGTTTTTAGTAAGATACAGCTTTGTGAATGTTTTATTCCTTGGGTATAGACTTATACACTCTAAAAAATAACTCAAAAGGTATGTTATCACTTTATAGTTTAATACATTGTTGTAACGTGAAAAATTTTAAATTGCTGATTAGAATAAAACATTTAAGTTGTCAGAATAATTTTATTAAGTTTTCACAATAGGACAATATTGATAATTACATCAACTAAAAAAAATGTGGTTAATATAAAGGTAAATATGTCTGTCAATTAGTTTGAAACAACATTTAACTTGTAGCAACCCAAAGAAATTGAGTTGATAACTCAATTTTTCCACACAAATGGAGTTCTGAATTTCAAAGGTCCTCCCCCACTGAACAAGCAAGAAAGTCTGGACAAGTTTTAGGCAGGCTGTTTGACACAAAGGACATTTTAAAGTGAAATATCTGAATTTTTTTAAATTTCCAAATCAATTTTCTCCATTCCAATAGAGCAGGGGTGTCAAACTCAATTCCTGGTGGGCCGAAGCTCTGTTTAGTTCCAACCCTGCTCCAACACACTTACCTGTGGGTTTCAAACAAGCCTGAAGGACTCAATTAGATTGATCAGGTGTGTTTAATTAGGGTTGGAACTAAACTGTGCAGAGCTGAGGCCCTTTAGGAACTGAGTTTGACACCTGTGCACTAGAGTGTTGGCTACTCCTGGTAAATACATTTAATGTTAGCTGTGCTTTTTTTTTCCCCTTTTTTCTTGCTTTACAAGAATACACAAGAATTTGAGGAGGACCTTGAAAGGCAAGTGATGACAATTTCCTTAATTGGTGATCAGTCTACTTTGCAATTGAACCACAAGACGGAAACCATCATGGTTGAGAGAATGATAATCCTAAATAGAATGGATATCTCAAGGTGCTGTGCTCTGCTGATGAGCATAATATACACTCTGAATTGAAGCTACCTCAAGGAACTTAAGTAAACTTGTGAAGTTTTTCGAATGTGATGGACTGAAGCCGAATGCAAATGTATTGCACCTTAATAAATTTATTTTCTAAAGTCTCTATTAATTTCAGAGTAGATTTTACTCTTTATGTTGCACTTCATGTTCTTTTGTATCTTTAAGGACACAAACTAATATTTTTTGCTATTTTTATACATTTTTTATGGGACGGTACACATTTTTTTTTTTTTTAAATACTGTGGTTTAAAATAAATAAAAAAAAATACTGGAAATACAAAAATGTTGTTGTTAAATGTATTTCTTACAAGCAACTAAATGAACAGTAAATTTGAAAATATACAAAAAAGTACAATTTCAGCTACTTAATTTATTAGAGTTCCCCTTCGGGGGGAACTTCAGCACTATAAGTGGATTTGATTGTAAAATCCACGCATTGGGAGGTTCGGTTCAGAAGCTACTCGTCTGAAAGAGTATTGAACGGGCCAATTAAGAATGAATTGGCAGCGCAAGCCTGCGCAGGTGAGCGGCATAAGCAATCAACTGAGTATATAAGCTCACCTGGCGCCAGCAGACGCTATCCTTTTCGCTTCAGAGACTTTCTGATCGAGTCGATGAGGGTTCCTCCTGCTGTGACCAGCGATTCTGAGCGAACGAGAGCATTCTCCCGGTCCAGAGTGTGTACACGCAGTGGCAGACGGTCGAGCTGGGTTTCTCCCTTGCCTGGCGTTCTTTGGGTCCGGTCCTCCAGAGCGGTGCGTATAAAGTTGCAAACTTCACAGAAAGAGCAACACAGTCGTGCAGCACGTCCTTATCAGGACGGCGCTCCGACTGTGCGTTTCTGGATGCGGTGGTTTCCTGTCCTCGGATGATGGGCGCGGGCACTGCGTTGCATGTCTGGGGGTCCAGCATGTTAATGCGCTGCTCGCGGGCAGTTCATGTCGTCATTGCGATGCCATGACTGTTGCGCAAGATCGCGGTTAGCCTTTGCAAAAGGGTGAACCACCCCAGTTGTCCCCTGCTCTGCAGCGGGCACTCGGGCAGATCTGAGGGTTTCAGCGAGAGATAATCCGTCGCCCACGGGCCCGCGGACCTCCCGCTCCTCTAAGCGCTCTATCCAAGCTTCGGGCGGGGGAAGCGATCCGTCTAACAGATGGTAGCCCTTACGCCCGATGACACCGGAGACCAGATGTCCACCGCGGCATCGGAGGGTGGGCTTTCATTGTCCGATGATGATCCAGACCCGCTCGCCCCCTTCGGGCTGGTGAGCGCTGTCACTACGGATCCTGAAACGGACATGTTAGCCGTGCTTTCCCGGGCTGCTTCGGCCGTGGGTTGGAGATGGTTTATCCCCCAGCTCCGCGGCCGGACCGACTAGAGGGGCGTTCCCTTCTTCCCGGAGGTGCACAGTAGGCTCTCGCGGTCTTGTAAAGCACTTTTTTCTGCTCGTGCTGCGTGTTCCTCCACCCTAACCACTCTTGACGGTGAAACAGCCAGGGGGTATGTGGCGATTCCTCAGGTTGAGTGCGCGATGGCGGTAAATCCGCGCGGCGCCTCTTCTTGGCGGGGTCCGCCTCGTCTCCCATCCAAAGCCTGTAAGTTATCTACCTCCCTCGGAGCTAGAGCTTACATAGCTGCGGGCCAGGCTGCTTCCGCCTTGCATGCGATAGCCACCTACCAGCGCTACCAAGCGCAGGCGCTGGCCGAGCAGCACGAGGGTGGGTCCAACCCAGGCTTACGAGCTTCGCACCGCCGCTGACTTAGCTCTTCGGACTACTGAGTCCGCTGCGTGTGCGTTGGGGAGGACGATGTCCACATTAGGTGTCCAGGAGCGCCACCCCTGGCTGATATGCGCAAAGTCGACAAAGTCCGCTTTCTTGACTTCCCCATATCCCCAGCCAGGTTCGGCGACACTGTCTGTGAATTCACCCAGGAATTCAAGGCGGTGAGAGAGCAGTTGGTGGGTGATGTCTTATCGGCGGTCCGTAGCCCGCTCCGCCCGCCGTGCCATTCATACCTGCTCCTCGCCGAAGGCGCCCGCCTACGAGAGCTGCTCCGCCCCCGCACACGCCTCCGGCGAAGCGAGCGCGTCGGGCACCTCGGAAGCAGGCAGCCCCCCTGCCCAGAACGCCGCTAAGTCCGGCAACGGACCGCGAAGCGCCCCTGGGACAGGCCATCTGGAGAAGAGGGAACTTGCTCTTTCCCCGCTGGAGGGCGGGGCCCCATTTCCAACGGCACTTTTTACTGCCATGAAAACATTATGAAAGGGCACTTTTCACTTCCCCAGATGTGACAGCCCGAAATCTGCCAGTCTGGGACGCTATGCTTTCTAGCTTGCAGATTCGGTGCGTTTCGCCAGTGGCTCACGAGCGCTGGGAGGACGGTCTCCTTTCTCCCACCCCTCGAGCCTCCCCTCCGGAGCTCGGGTTTGGAGTGAGAGCAAATATCTCACCTCCAGCTTTTCCGTGGGACCCGCGAGCTTCCCGGATCAGCACACCCACTCCGCGCTGCCCCACTGCTGGTACGTCAGCGATTGTAGCGATGAGTCCATTAGCGAGAGCTCTGCCTGCCTGGTTAGCGCGGGCCAGCTCTTCGCGGTGGCTCATACGCACAATCAGACTCGGCTATGCGATTCAGTTCGCGAAACGGCCCCCCAAGTCACGGGTGTGTATTCACCAGGGTCAGCCCCCTGTCCGCCCCTGTCTTGCGAGAGGAGATTGCTGTCCTCCTGGCGAAGGATGCAATCGAGCCGCTCCCTCCAGCCGAGATGGAGAGCGGGTTTTACAGCCCACGCTTCATCGTGCCCAAAAAGAGCGGTGGGTCACGGCCAATCCTAGATCTGCGCGTTTTGAACCGCTGCCTGCACAAGCTGCCGTTCAGAATGCTCACGCAGAAGCGCATCCTCCGGTGTGTTCGTCCTCTGGGTTGGTCTGCAGCATTAGACTTGATGGACGCGTATTTCCATGTCTCCACTCTTCCTCGCCACCGACAGTTTCTGCGGTTTGCGTTTGAAGGTCGAGCTTGGCAATACAAAGCCCTCCCCTTCGGGCTCTCTCTGTCTCCGCGGGTCCTCACCAAGCCCGCGGAGGGTGCCTCAGCACCCCTTCGGCTCGCGGGCATCTGCATACTCAATTTCTTTATGACTGGCTGATTTTTGCCCTCTCTCGGAGCAGTTGATTATGCACAGAGACAAAGTGCTCTGGCACTTCCACCTGTGGGGGTTTCAGGTCAACCGAGAAAAGAGCAAACTCGCCCCCGTGCAGAGGATCTCTTCTCTCGGGCTGGAGCTGGACTCGGTCACCATGGCAGCGCGCCTCTCCGGATAGCGCGCTCAGCTGATGCTGTACTGTCTGAGAGAGCTCGACAGTAAAATAGTGGTCCCACTGAAACTATTTCAGAGGCTCCTGGGGCATAT